GGGCCGGGCCGGGCCGGCGGCGGGCGGGCGGGAGGGAGCTGCGCGATCGCGTGTGGAGGAGCGTGGGGTGTCTGAGCGCGTGGGGCCGAGCGCGAGTGTGTGTGGTGCGGGAGAAGGTGAGTGTCCTTGTGGGGGCGCGGAAGGCGGCGAGAGCGCGGTGGGGGCAGTAGGCAGCGTGGGGAGTGAAGAGGAGCGCGAGTGGGAGCGAGTCCAGGGGGAGGGAGCGTGGGGGGAGCGTGTGGGCACCAGTGGGGAGGAGGGTGTGGCGTGGATCGGGGGAGATCGTGAGTGCCGCCTCGGGGAGGTGAGTGGCAGATGAGGGAGTGTGCAAGGCTGTGCCTGCGTTTGTCCAGCGTGTGAGCGGGCATCCTGGACGCCTTTCTCCTTGGTCTTTGTGTGTGGGGACAGTGAATCTTGGTATCTTGGGTAAGGGAGTTCTCTCCAGGAGCATAACTTGTCCCTGAATCTTTGCGTTCTAGAAAGAGGGAAGGATCTGAGTCTTCTAGTGACACGATGCTGTCTGGCGCTGGGATTCCCCCCTAACGGATGTGGCTCTCTTTTTTTTTTCTCTCTTTAATCTCTCCCCACACCCTCTGCCACGTTTCATAAAATTGACATAAGTTTCCGAAATTGTCAAGGGTTGTCATCCCATCTTAGTCTGGGGGCTCTAAGAGCTAACACAGTCTTAATTCTTGCCCAGTGTGCCCTTGCCTGTATTCAGAAGCATAAACTTTTTTTGTAAAGTACTGCTAATTTTTCAGGTGAAAAATTTTGTATTATTAGATAAGTGAAAGTGGGAAAATTGAAGTGGCATCTTTTAGATGGTGATGTTTTCCTACCCACCTTTTTGGAGAACAGCTCCTAAGAAGTAATAATAGTGTAACATTGATGAAGAAGAAAAACTAGGTTAGTTTACTTCCTGGAATTTGTGAAGAAGTATATAAAGACACTAATTCTGGTATCACTGTAGGCTTTCAGCAAATGCTTGTCAGTTTGGAGCCACCAAACTACAACGACTGCTTGGTGAGTGGATTGTAGTTGTTGCCATGCTCTGTGTTACAGTGGAGTTTCAGACAGGAAGTGAGTGAAGTTATGCCTTGTTAAGTGTGCAAAAGGGAATTAAGAATACAGGAGGACCCATCAGGATCTCAGCATCACTTGCTGGTATACCATTGAGTTAGTAAAACCCCATGAAGTTGCCAAGATTCTGATACCCCCTACCCCTACTAGCGATCCAACCCAGGAGGGCTGTACCACTGAGCTCTATGCCCAGCCCTTTTTTATTTTTGTTTTGAGACAGGGTTTTGTTAACCTGCCCAGATTGACCTTCCCTGTCTCAGCCTCCTTGAATGGATGGGATTATAAGCATGTGCCGCTGTTGGCTGATCCGGATTTTTAAAAAGTTGCTTATTGAATGGACTAATCATTGTCATTGATTTTTCCCATCTGGTGTTGTTGAAAGAGGGATTCTTGGTAAAGAGTACCTTCAGAGAGATTTTATGCCTCAGCGATATAGTCATAGAAGATAATGATGTCTCAGACATTGGACTCCTTCAGTATGATTTAGGTTGGGGTTTTTGGTAGTGGAGCTAATAGAATTGTAGGCAAATCATTCATATAGTTCAGACTAGGAGTCTGAAATTACATTTTTCTTAAGAGTGAACTTTTTCTCTCTTAATCACTAGTATGTTATGCTTTCAGAAATAGTATTGTCATGCTTGGGAAGAGGGGAGGGAAGGGAAGGGAAGGAATTAATTAGTATTAAGTGCCTACTACGCTGCAAGTGTTTTTATGTTCTCATTTAATTCTCACAGCCACAATAAAGATGGTAGGTATCTTCATTTGCATTCACTTGGCACATTTTGAGTTGGTTTCTATTCGCCAGCCACCAGGGATATGGTGATGAGCCCCCATGGACTTAATGGTGATGAGATGAACGGATACAGACTCATACAATTAACTTGTCCTAGCTTAGACAGTTAACAAGAGTGGGAGCTGGATTTCATATTGAGGTCTGTCTGACTCCAAAACTCTTGTTTTCCCAGGACTCCCTAGCACTTTCAGTGTGTTGTCTCTTTGTCTCTATACAGTGTCCTTGCAGCTGGTACAGATGAGAGTTGTGTGAGTTAAAGGAGAAGACAGTGGCTGGAGGCAAAGGGATGGGTTAGGAAGTGCTGACTTGAGGCTCTTTGGGGCCTAAGCTAGGTTTTAATGTGGGAGGAGATTCTTTCTTGAAACTGTCTTGGGGCCCCAGGGTGTGTGCTTTGAGACAGTTTTTATGAGGCACCTGGGATATGTCTGGATGAGGGAAGTCTGATTAAAGAAATGTAGTAGCCTTTTATGTATTTCGTTTTTAGCAGGGTAGGGGAAGGGAAGAGTATTTGTTGGAGCTAAGAGTCACCTGGAAGTTACCCCTTCCTGAAAGTTTCTGTTGAGCTGTGTGGGATACTTAAATCAGGAGTTTGTGAGGAGACATGTGAAAACAGTTTGTTAATTATAAACTGAACTTCAGACACAAAGTAATATTACCAGTTAAGACTTTTTCTCCTAAGGCTACAGTTTAATTGTTACATTTAGTAGCTAGAAAAGCTAGTAGTATTTTAGAACACTTTTACAAAGGAAAAATAGTTTAGAACTGCTGAACAGGATATTTTCTGACTCAGAACAGCAAGTCAGACCACTCCCTCCATGAGTCAGTCAAGTAATACTTAATTCGAGTGAACCGAGTTTATAGGCAGAAACCATTTACAACATCATGAGCTTTGGTGGCACTAGGGAAGAGTAAATATTTGAATGCTTTTTGCATGCAACTTTTTTAAAAGTCCAAAAGTCACAGATGCATACACACATATGCATAGAGTTTAGTTGAAAAAAAATTATGGACAAATTAAATTAGATTTAGTTTTCTTGAAGTTCTGGCCCTCTCATCCCCAACTGCCCCAGGCTGGGGATTGAACCCAGGAGCCTAGTCAAGCTTTGCCACTGAACTACATCTCCAGCCCCTTTCTTTAGCTTTTTATTCATTTTCTCCTTTAAAGGTAGTATTTCCTTATGCAGTAATTATAGATCACTTTACAGTTTTGAGACAGTTGAAATTCAGTGGGGATACAGTTTGTGAGGTTGGTAATCAGTGAAACTTCTAGAAAAAGCATTTACAAATAAGATTCTGAGGAACAGCACAAATATTTTTACTCTTAGAAGAGTAAAACTTGGAGTTAGTTTTTTTTTTTTTTTTGTAGGTGCAATTCCCTCAGCTATATAACTTGTTAAATAGAAGTTGGGGATCTTTAAAAATTTATTTATTTATTTTTTTTTCGGTGCTGGGGCTCGAACTCAGGACCTTGCACTTGCCAGGTGGGCGCTTATACCACTGAGCTATATCCCCAGCCCTCTTTAAAGTTTTTTGAATAAGTGGAAATAGGATCTGTAGTTATACTTCATTTTATTTTCTTTTTGTCTTTTTGAGACAAGGTTTCACTGTGCAGTTCAGGCTGACCTTGAACTCACTTTGTGGCCCAGGCTGGCCTCAAACTCACAGTAATCTTACTGTCTGAATCTCCCGAGTGCTGGGATTACAGGCGTGTGCCACAATGCCCAGCATGGATCCATAGATCCATAGTTTTAATATGGGTAAACTGTTACAGTTTATGAGTAGGGTGGTGGTAGAGACCTTGTTATCTTAGAATACCTGAAAAAGTCCAACATTAAACTTTAGGGCTTTAGGTTTCAACATTTCCTTCTTGAGAACCTTCTTTGTGCCAGATCACAATCATCTCATTTAAAACTTAATATGCTATAAGGATTCTTTTAACTTTTTTTTTTTTTAGGATTCTTTTAACTTTATGCCTAAGGGAATTGATTTATAGATGAATTGTTGAATCCCAAGTTTCAGAATCTAAGTTAAAGGGGAGATGGCAGTGGATAAAACCATGTGGGTTTTTTTTTAATTATCTTTTTCTCTTGAAGCTTATAGTACTTAAATTCTTGTCTGAGAACAGGGATAATTACTTTGATAAATGGTGACTGGAGTATGTTAATCCATGGAGTATTAGCGTCTCTTCTCTATTTTCACCTTCTGAACTATTACGTTATACCCATTATGTATATTTATTTTATCATCTGAACTGTGTTCTCTGGTTCAGTTGACCTCTGGCCCACTCTTTTGGGACTTGATACGTTATAGGAGTGCTTAGTGTAGAGCTGCAGTGGATGTTGTATACATATCTTTTTCTTGTTGGAGTTGTAGAGGTCTAGACTGAACCAAAAACTCACCACCAGTTTAAGTGGCCTAGAAACTACATTTCATCATTTGAATATAAATTTATAAGGCACTATGTTGGTTTTATAAACTCTAGAAAAAAATATGTTTCTTTGAGTCAAAAGTCTTGCTGTATTATTCTAGGCTGACTGGCTGGCCTGAAACTCACTGTGTAGCCAAGGTTGGACTTGGTGATCCTCCTGCTTCAGCCTTCCAAGTGCTGGGATTACAAGGGTGCACCACCAGGCCCACCTCTAAACTACAGAGAATTTTATTTTCTTTTTGAGACAGGGTCTCATTATGCAATTCAGGCTGGCCTTGAGCTCACTTTGTAGCCCAGGCTGGCCTTGAACTCACAATGATCCTCCTGCCTCAGCCTCTGGGATTACAGAGAACTGGGATTACAGAGTGCTGGGATTACAGGTGTGTGTCACTACACCTGACTCAACTAGAGAATTTTAAGATTAGGCTTTTCTGTGATCCTTTTTTTGGTAGTTGAGCCTGATGTGAAGAAATATCTGGGGCATTAGAACAGTCTTTACCTTTCAAGAAGTGTATTTCATTCCTTTCATAGTATTTTTGAGTTAAAATTTCATTCTCAGAAAAGGTTGGTTCTTTTGGCATAAAATGCACTCATGATATATTTGTTTAGCAGATCAGATAAATTACTGTATATTTTTATTTCTTCTGTGGTCAAAAATGTTGGCTCTTAACTAATGTGTTGTTTGACAAGAATTCAAATTCCTGGTCAGGTCTGCTTTCTTTCAATTGTTCTTTAGTTTTAGTTAAATTTTGAGCATCTTTTTCCCCCTACTGTTCTATGGGACACATTTGCTAGGTTGTACTACCACTGTATTT